AACCAGATTTGAATCTGATATGATGCCCAGTGTAAATATTGTTGACACAAATGGGTCTCAACAAATATAATAATGTAATATGAATGTATATAAGCTGATTTACATTCAAACTTTTCTGTTTTTACTGTAATTTCTAATCAGTTATGTTGGGCGAAATACACCAGAAGTCTCAATCGAATGACAATCTCTAAGCGTCTGGTCATTTGAGTCTACTACAATAGTATTTATTGCGCATGCTCCCCCGATAAGAATATGTTGTCACCGTTTGACATGACTTGTGGAATATGTCGAGCCTCGTTCATTGAGTCCCTTGGCGCTGAAATGCATTATGGTACACGTTTCGTGTACCAACGGTAAAATGTTTATTTTGTCTTAGGTATTGGATATCAGAAGCCCGTCTTTTCCAGTAAGATCACAACATCAATGTTGATTTAAATTGACAAATAATTCGGGTTTTCAATATCAAAGATTTTGGATGATATTGCTGCTGATGGCATCCTCATGGGTTGATGCATAAAGTGCAATACAAATTTGTCCATACCGTTCTACATTATTGTATGTCCACTGTACACCATAAGTACCTTCCGTTGTTGGTAAACAAAATTACAGTATCTGTATTTACAATTGGAGAGCTAAGTTTATTAACATATTAATAAATTAATCTTGAAATTTATAATTTCAACTGGTGCTTGTATTTATTGGCAGTTGCATCCAGGTATATTTAAAACCATTTTGTCCTTTTGTACCTATCATTTAATAACATTATAGTCTAGAAGGTATATTTTAGAGTTTTTATCTGAATGAATAGTTTATAAAAGATTGATATAAGTGTTCTATTCTAGGGTTTTATGTTTAAGTAAAAGAAGATTAGATTGTCCCTGAGTGTTCTAACAGTAACACTCACAGTCAGAATAATCACCCTTCAATTAGTGTCAACTTATATTTGTTATCATGTGGTGAAGGGAAATGAGGCTGTAACCTTTTGTTTATACATATTAGCAATAGTCAATATTTGTTTAGTCGCTCCATACAACAAACTTCCAATTTAGATATAATTCCGATTTTATTTATGACACAAAATCTTTCTAAATTGAGGAAAATTAGATTCTGCTTGTTTGAGTTTGTGTTAGATTTCCTTCATGAATACTTGCTTCTTTTTTTTTCAGAAATCATCAGCATAAAAAAAAATTAGAATCAGTATTTCTAAAATACTTAATAGCACTTATTGGAATTGGAATATCTATGACTCATCTTATATGATGAATGATATGAATAAAATAGATTTACAACTAATTTTACTTTATTCACTTGAAACCTGAATAAATCAAAACTGACTTTTCTTTGTAAGAAAGCTCTTTGTAGTTACACAATGCAAGCTGGTTAATTACCGAGGAACGAAATTACATCAATGTACTATTATGCAACTGTGCTAAGGGCTTTAACTGAAAGTCATGAGATATGAGTTAGAAATTTAAATGAATCTATGTAAGCTTCTTGTCGATGTGTGATGCAAATAAAAAAAATTATATTGGAAAGCTAGAATCATTGTTCTCTATGTTACCATATATTTGATTTTCCTAAAAGCCTTTTGCATATAAAAATAATTCTATGATTTTATAACTGATTTTTATTTTATAATTTATTGTTTATTATATTGTGTTCTTTGCACTTAAAATGTGTAATACATGTCAGTACTTGAATATTAAACAAGAAATTTATCATATTTTATTGAACAATTTAATTAGCTGAGCTAGTTTTAAGCACTATTTAACTGGATGATATTTTCATCTATATTGATTTTAGTTCATGGCACATGTTAATTATGCCTTAAATTGGTATTACGATGATAAATGTGTCAAATTAGTGGCTAATGAGAAAACTAAATACAAACTTTGTTTTTAATTGAAGGTAATTAAGGCATGCTGGGAGATGAACATTATTTAGGATGTACAAGTCCTGGTGTCTGATGGATCAATTTATTAAATGGCTTGAGCGATGATCATTGAATAATATGAACAAAGTTATGTTGATATCAAATGACTAAGCTGCATTTGTGTGGTTATGATACAGAGATTCGATAATTGCACTCTACACTTATACATGTACCATGTTTCTCTGTTGGTATTCATTTTGCATTCTTGGTAGTCATCTTGCCTTATTGGCAACTCTGTTTCTTCCTATGTAGCCATTTTATTTCTTGTACATTAGAACTGCAGAGGCCCCTTCGTAGCAGAAAATACTCCTAATTATTTTCACAATTCTATGATACAGAATAGTTTGAGATTTTAACATAGCATCATCATCATCATAATAATACTACTACTACTAATAATAATAATAGAATCTTCTATGTATTTATTAAATGGAGTGTTCATTTCTGCGGTATTTCGCTTGAGTGCAGTTTAATGATATTGATGATCATGTTTATTTCTTTAAAATACATTTATCACCTGATGAATTTTCATTTTTTTTTTCATTTTAATGTTTTCTTCAAATGGCAATAAAAACTATACTATTCAATACAACACTCATAGATAATATCTTTATTGAAGTCTATTGTGCAGCCACTGGCAAATCATTTGACTACCCCAAAATAAATTTATACTCATGATGAATGAGTAATATATTTCACGACTAAATAAGTAGTTCAACTTTCAGAAGGGCTGAAAACATAATAATAATAATAATAATAATCTCTTTATTTTGAAAGGGCAGAAAATTAGGCCTAGGACCCTTCGTACATTTTGCCCTTTTAACAACATCAGCATGCATAGAATCTGGAACAGATTTGTTTGCATAACGATAATAAATATATTAGACGTGGTGTTTGATAAATGTGAAAATTATTTACACTATGATATAGTATGAAAAGAGTTCTATAAAATATATACATACATAAATGTGAATATTATTTGCTTGAAGATAGGTATGAATATTATTATACAAAATATATGTTCATGAATGAACATGGAAGCTAATGACATAGATCCATAAAATGTGAATGAACAAGAAAACATTACATTATGAAGCACTTAAATATGCTTACGCATATTCATGTGGACGTATTATGCCGTCACCCCTGTTTGTGGACACTCTACAGGTCACAATTTTTATCCGATTTCAGCGAAACTTGAAATATAGGTTTATCTCCAAAAGATCTTGGTTCCTTTCGATATTGGCATGTATGGGATCAAAACTTCATGGATTATGGTCCCTGATTGTTCAAAAAATCACGTTTTTAGCTTGTGGACACTCTAGAGGTCACAATTTTCATCTGATTTTGATGCAACTTGAAATGCATCTTTATAACCCACAGATCTTGTTTCCTTTCGATATTTGTGCATATTGGATCGTAACTTCCTGAATTATGGATCAAAACTGCCTAACAAAATGGCCGCTCCCTTTACGCAAATAGTGTAAAAGTATGTAATACCAATGTTGTGGACTCTCTTGAAGTCACAATTTTTATCCGATTTTGATGAAACTTAAAGTATATCTTTATATCCCAAATATCTCAATCCATTTCGATATTCACACATTTCAGACCATAACTTCCTGGATTATGGCCCCACATTGTACGAAAAATCGCTTTTTTTGTAGTCTCTAGCCATCTCTTGCAAAATGTGGACGTATCTTGCCTGACAACCGCTGGTATAAGAAAGATATAATGTGATGTATCATTAAACTTTATAAGTCACTCCCCTGTAAAATTTTATCTTAGTTGGCGTGGGTTGATTGCCACTTGGATGATATCAGAAAGAAAACTTTAATAGACAAAACTATCAGATAATTTATAACTGCACTTAAACTTTATTACAAGGCATCGATGGAAGAGTTACAGGAGCAGTCTGGGTGGTCACTCTGTTTTTTGTAAAAAACTTTTTAAATTGTCATATAATCATCAAGGAAGAAATCCAGTGGCACTATTATCAAGATACCGAAGTCCAATGTCCACTTTACACAAATATTTCTAGAATAATTTCTTCAAAAACTTAAATACCTTGTTCAAATACAAGCATGTTTAAAAACTCAGCATTGTGTTTTAAAGCCACATCCTACCGGACAGCATAAATTTTTGCAAAAAGTAAGGATTTCATGTTAATGCCCAATGCCAGCTGGAGCCGGTAATATTAAGCTGATCTGTTCAGATGACCAAGATAAGCCAGCTCAAACACTATTTGGAGCTTGTGTTTATTTGCCCCATCTTTGCACATAGGGATTACCGTCGTTTTTAAACCAGCTTAACTGAAGTGTCGGAACAGCATATTTTAGTCATAGGCTGCAATCACAATGAATTGGTACATGTATCTAATTTGCCTTGTGTAAAACCAATATGAAGATATATTGGCAACCTAAGTATATTGTTTGTATAGATTTTTGTATCTCATTAAAGGTATTTTTTTTAAAAATTGGATATATTAGAATCATCAACATTAAACACACGTTAAGTTGGACGTATTTAAAACTGGAAAACTTGATATTGTGATTAAAAGATCTCAAAATCAAAAGAATATCTTGGGTAAAATCTTTTTTTTTTGATGGATCATAAGTAAACACAGAATAAAAAGAATATCTATGGTATATTCTCATATATCTAAGGCTTCTGTTCCTTTAAATTTCTTTTACTGAAAGTTTGAAAATCTAAATGGTAATTTTAAGAATATGATATAAAAATTTATTGCTACCTATACTCTCTGTCAAAGGGATGTTGGCAGTAGAGTATCCACAAAGGCACATGCCTTGTTAATATTATCCAGGCTGAGAAGCAAGGGTTCAGATCTAGTAGCTTCCAGTGTAATATGGATGTTGTGCAATGGTTTGATAAATGGACCATCATGAGTAATGTGATCCTTATCAATAGAAATCCACTAATAAAACTCTTGCTTGTCTATTTGATCAATGATTGTTTAGCCATGAAATGTAGTTATCCGAATCAGTAATCTGTAGAAACAGCCAGAGATTACATGTTATATTTGTATATCAATCAATATTTGAGTTTATATGGCTTATAGTGTCCATATTTTTTGTCTTGTCTACTTTGTCTTGTGGGTGTACAGTTAGTGGTTATGTGTAATAAAGTCCTCATACACTTACTACTTGAGCTCAACACTATCAGTAGCTATACTGTATCTTTGATGTATGGTCAATGGACTGATTAGATTGATTAAAATGGTCTGAAACAAGGATATTGTTCAACAATACACTTTTCATGATAGATGCTGAGTACAAGAAACATTCTTGTACATGTGTGTAGTTGTGTATCTTCTATTGGATAATCTGAATTAGAAACTTGTGTTGTGGGAAATGAATCAACAAAATGCATGTGGACATGTATGTCAAACCTCTCTTACATGTTGACATTACTCTAGGGGATTATAGTTACACAGGAATTTTATTCTCTCAACATTGATGTGTTCATTAACTTTGAAAATGTCTTGAGTTTTGTTGCAACTGAAAATAAAATGTTTGAATATAATCTAGAATAATTGGCTTGAACAGCTGGAAGTATTCTGAGGGCGGAGGACATGATGCGTGGTTATATTTATAAGGAACAGAGGCTGTTATTCCTGGTCGTATCCAAGCCAACTTATGTTTGTGGAAAGTTGTTCTTCTAACTACTGAAATGTTTATCCAGAGGGGATTTTTGTTTACCTGCGATAATTAAATTGTTTATAATTGAAGTTAATAATAACCTTACGTAAACTGACATGTCTAACCTAGGGTTTGTTTATTCATCTGGTTTTTAACTTTGATTGAAAATTTTTGAAGATTTATTTATCGCTGTTTCATTTAAAAAAATTTGTATTCTTAATCTGAAAACTTGATTCAGATATTTTGAAATTGAAATTTATTGTAAAGTTTGAATTTAGATTCAGTGAAATTATAAACAATAAGCTAATTTTCAAATTTTAATGTTAGTAAAAACTTAAGAACTACTTCAAATAATTCATTTTTTTTTCAGGATACACTTAACTATGTGCACTAGTATGTCAAAAAAAGAAAGTCCACTAAACAAAATCAGCAGTATATCCAGGTGAACTAATAGCCCATTCAGACGTGCAAGTTAAACTCGTTTAAAAATCCCTGCCGATCGTTAAACAAGTTTAAAAATCCCTGCCGATCGTTAAACGAGTTTAAAAATCCCTGCCGATCATTAAACTAGTTTAACTTGCAAAAGTGGGGCAAATAATACCAGTTTAAAAAACCCAGCTCTGTAGTCTACCAGTCTTCGAAAAGGCTTTTCTTGAAAGCAGTCTTATTTCGGCTGTCTAACTGGCTTTGGGCACGTGCAGTAAGCTATCTTTCTGGCAAAATGCCGACATGTGCTCATGCTTCATCTTCACATTTAACAGCAGAGGCCAAAATAGTTAAACTGGTTTATACTAATTTATAGAGCGCCTAGCCTCGTCTAACAATCAGAAAGACGATTTTGTAAACCTACGCACCATGATATAGTATTGGCACATGGGAAAAACCTTGTCAGCGATTTTCAAAACGTATGTATGTTGCCGCCCAGTCTTCAACTTTTGGGCTCAGTAGGCAGCACAGTTTGGCCAGTGCACGGCGGCGGCGCCGCCTAGTCACCATGTTAAACAAGGCTCTGATAGAGCGTGTGAACCAGGCCCGGTCGGACAAAAAATGAAAATAAATAATTTTGTCCAATTCGTCTAAAAAAAACTTTTCTGCTGAACATTATATAGGGGTGGTGGTATTGGAACGGCCATGGAGCGATGATGATCATGTTGTATGTGGCCGGTGGCTTTAGCGGGCCGCCACGCCATCACTAGAATCTGGATTGAGCTGATATAATAGACTTTTTGGGCTGGGTGTGGGCCGGAATTCGGAATCCTGCAATGGGGATTCCGAATTTCATCCGAAAATTTCATCAGATTCACCCGACACTGTCGCCAGAAACGTCTGCCGATGGTTCGTAACTCAAAAAAAAATTCAATTTTAAGGCCTCGGCAAAATTTGATGATAGCTGGTCTTGACGATACAATGATAATACATTAATTAATAATATGACGATATGATAATTTCACTGGTTGATGGGTGTAAGTTACTTGCAGGTCGGGGTTTTGGCCTAAATTAATTGATTTATGAGATATATTATTTGACAGAGATTATAATCAGATATGCCACCAAATCGCATATTTGGGGTTCATTTTTCAAAATTTTCATGGGGCCAATCCGACACTGGAGCCCGGGCCGGTTCCCGGCCCCAATCCGCCCCTGGTGTGACCACACCATCCCCGGCGATTTTGAACTAGTTTAAATATACCTGTCTTGGTATATTATAATACTATAATCATAATATAAAACATGTTCAGCATGGTTAGATTTGTGAAATATTTACTCCGACTATCCATACCATTGTCCCTAGAAAGTTTCAGCCATGTAACTTATGACCTAATTTTAGGGGGCTACTTTAAGGTGCTGCTGCGGCTATACGCCCCAGCAGTGCCTGATCTGACCAATTGATTTTTACGGACACCTGCTACAAATTTGAGGGGGTCAAACCTTTTTTAACTGATGACCATATTATTTTGCCATTAGCTCTTGGATTATAACAGTAACATTAAATCCTTTGTGTATTGTTTATAAAGATTTTGGTAGGGCACTAGAATGTCACTGTGGGCTGAGAAAAATCTCCTAGTCCTAGTCTGACTTTTGGAACCTACAAAAAACTGAGGTCAACTGTGGTTTATAACTTAGGACCTTTGAAAGTTTGAAATTTAATGAAGAGTTAACAAAAATGCCACTGTCCAGACAAAATTCTCCTCCCTAACATTGCACACATGACCATAAAACACATAGAGCTCCATTCCTTTCCTTTATGTTTTCTCTGTAATGTTGGTAAGCTTACATATTGAGGGGGCAAGTGTAATATTTTTTGCTAATTTTAAAGTATCATCAAAGGCAAGCTTAGCAGTTGAGAATTATTAAATATCATGTAGTTTACTGTGCAACCTTTTCTTCAAACATATACACCTTGTTGATATTATTAATAACTGCATCTTTCATCCCTTACAAGTTGGACCACCCTAATTATGTAAACATGCACAGACATGTATGTCCCATATTGTGTGTTTTAATGTTTTAATCACTTGCATTGGATTTAAATTTGACACCATAACATGTGTTAAATCATAATTTAAGACACTTTACTTTTAATATACAAAACTCCTATCAGACAAACATGCACAGGAATAAATTATGGATTTGAAAATGAAGTGTTAGAAGTTAATTCTAACTTTGATGTGAAAATTATCAGTAAAAAAGAGTGTGGGAATTAAGCCTTAGACCTATCTTTCCACATTTCTGTCCTAACTGCTGTAAGTAATTGCAAATTGTAATGTCTTTGAATGTCATTTGGGAGATTTTCAATCCCTTTCACACTACATTAATGTGACAGTTGAGTCCCTAAAAGGAACATCACCCCAAAATGGTTCAATTCCCATCAGTATTTACAAAGCTGTGTTGAATTGAAAAATTGTAAACATTTGGCTTGCTCTGCAAATGGGATATGGTCAAAAGAAGTCAGTGGCACCTTTAAACTTCATGTTTGTCTAGTGTTGATATTTTGATTTCTGAATAGTGTGGATTAAGCTGTGATGATAAGCTGATTCTTGTATGTCAATATTAACTTAGAAGACCAGTTGTCACCCATTAGGATCTCTCCTTTGGTTTTCAAAAATAAGAGAAATCCCCCAAACTGGTCTTCGAAATGATGAGGAAATCTACTCTTTTGCAACTGCAAAATTGTATTTATTGATATCATAAAAATGCAGAAATTGTGAGACTTATGGATTGAACAGCTAATAAAATCATTGTAAAGCTTACTTATATCACTGATCAATGCAAGCTAGCATACCAACATGTAATTCACTTGTCTCGAATCGGCTAATATTTGACATATTTATAGAACATTGAAAGGTCTAGTCTAATTTCCCTTTCTATAGAAATCACGGCATCATCTTAGCAACATGGTCAAAAAATGACATTAATTTGCTCCTGGAGCTGGGTGCTTTATTGAGCAGGCGGTTATTGGATAAAAAAACGGTCTGGCAACTTACTGGAAGGGATTTTATGTTAGAAATAGAGAATTAAAGCAATGCTTTCATTCTGTTCTACGTAATATTGATTAGAAAATTGAAAAAACAGACACATTCTGCCCAAAAATTGATTTCTATTCAGAAAGGTGAGTGGGGGATTTATTGGTTTTGTGAAAATGCTAGTAATAGGTTACTCATGATGTAGATAATAGTTGTCCCCAAACCAGTTTTATTCCTTATGGTAAATCTTTTGACTTGTATAGCGTTTATTGATCATAATCAGTCTGTTTGAAAGTAGAAAGATAAACCCCTTTATTATTCCTCAATGTATCTATAGTTTAAACTTACATTGGTAATTGATTGGAATATTATCAATGGTCATTTGAAAAAATAGTGGATGCCTGTAGGTTGTAACTGAATCATTCAGTTAATATTGTTTAGCTATTTCTGTTTGACCTAAATCCCTTACTGTATGTTCAGAACAGACAAAACATGATTTTGTTATTTTGAACAGAAAATCGAGAATGGTCTTTTTATTCCATTCATAAAATGACACTAATTGACATATTTTATTGGACTAGGATGCAAATAGACCAATGATCTTTTCTATGAAGAATTATTGAGAATTTTATGTTGAGTTTTGTAAAGATCTACTTTGGAAAATTTTGTTATTGATGGATATTGTGTATAATGTAGCCGACCATAGAATATCATGTATTGTGATGAACACTATATATATACTAATAATGGTAGGTAAATGTCAGGTATATATATTCAGAAAGTAAATGATTATTCAAATAGCTTGTACCTCTATTGTCCGTTAAGTTGTTAGTTACTAATTGTAAACACAAGAACTGATTGTTTTCCACCATTCTGTATATGAAGTGTTTATTTTGGGGGTCATTTAAGCTATAAGAGGTGATATTCATGAACTTGATAGATTAATTCATGTTGTTATTTAGTTATATATCATGTTTATTATTCATATTCTGATATACTCTTTTTTATCCTTTAATCCATATAAGTTTATAACTCTTTAAAGAAAGAAAATGGATATTGGCAAAATAATTCACGTGGGAAAATAAGGCCCTCTATTCTTTTGCAGTACATATAATCACTCTCTATGATTTCTACGAGATCATACAATCATTTTAGACCAAATAATATGTGTCAAAAGATAGGTGATAATCCAATACAAATAACTATATGACATGAAGAATGGGTATAAGCAATATATGTTTAAGATTGAGTGACAGGTATACATGGCAATCTTATCTAAGATAGTTATATACTGCTTATCCTCAGTATTTATTTTAATAATGATTCACAAATGACAGGGAGGTAAATCCCTTTCATTTCTTATTCGGTACATTAGATCAAAATATAACAAAAATTTCCATTAATCAATTATTGATTAAGTTCAGCTGAGAGCTGAGCATTCTCTTCAGTGAGGATCAAAAATTTAATCTAAATATAATTTAAAAAATTTCAAATAGGTCCTAAAAATAATGAGAAATGAGGCTTAACGTCCAATCGACACAAACTAGGTCATTTTGGGACAAACATATTTTTCAATTTTATTTCAATAATTTGCTACGGGTCTTTAGCAGTGGGAGGAAACCGGAAGACCCAGATAAAACCCATGAGGTTGGACAGGTGACCCGGG